ATCAGAGGCCGATCAAGGATGTTTGTCGAGACCCTATGCTTCAGATAGAGAACTACAGGATTTAATATGTATACTGTCCACGTCATAAGTAACCTTCTCTGTCTAATTTGAAAACAGTTGGAAATATCGTCATGAGCCAAAATATGTCGATTTTTATTTTTTATTAGCCGAAATATTTTAACATAAAAAATTGCTCATCTCTTTTAGTTGTTTTGGAAAATAGGTCAACTTTGCTGTTTTTAATGGTACACCCTATATATTATAATATTTTCTGATAGAGCTAAAAAATACGAATACAATGACACCTCACAATCAAATACCAATTTATAAAAATTTTTATAGAACGCCCTACCTATTAGATTCTTGTAGGACAGTCGACTAGGTAACAAAACAACCGCCGCAAGACAAATACACATATTATACCGCTCGTTATTTACCTGGATACCTATCCTTAAAAATAACTAAGAGGCGGAGAAGATGGGCTTAAAAATAAATTTTACAATGACAAAGTATAAATAGTTGCAAAGGCTCGTGGCGGAAACATACCAGAACATTTGAAATTTGGCTATAATAAGATAGAGGTGATCAGCAGTTTCGTATACTTGGGATCCATAAATGAATAATAAAAATTCGGTTAGCCAGGACATAAAGAAGAGGATAATCTAAGCCAACAAATGCTTCCATACAGGACTAACCTTAATACGATCAGTACTTATTTATGTGTCGGAAACAGAAAAGTGCAAAAACATCAAGAGGCACTAAGGAGATTCGAGAGGAAACTGCTTGAAAGAATATATTGCGCTGTTCTTCAACTTCGTGTTGTATGGTCTATGCTGCGAACCAGATATAAGATTTATCCATGTGCAAAAATTGAGATAAATTGATCATGAACTGAATATAAAAAGTGCCACAAGAATTATCTTTGATCTCTGTGAAGCTGACTTGTGGACGATGCGGAAGAGGACCTAAGAAGACTGAATATCGGGGGTTGGAAACTGTTAAGGCAGGCCAAGGTTCATAACGAGCCAAGCATGATGATTGTAGACATGATGTAGACAAAAATCCGGTTATATAAATATCATTCGTTGCAACAATTGACTGTATATTATTTTGATTGCAGAATGAATATCTGCAAAGTTATTAAGAAGAAATGAATCTTAAATTCAAAACTTATCTAGTATTCCTGCAAATATTGTTGACGAATATATTTTTATAAGTCAAAATAGTCAACTTTCAAGTTTATTAAATAGCATTGGTATGTAACATTTTTTGTTTGCTACCTTGCTTGTATGTACAGGGTGGGCCAAATTGGACACTTTTAAAGGGAAGGTCATCTTTCTTGATTGAGGCTTGATTTTTATAAGAAATTTAATAACGAAAACCGTATATCGATATCTCTTACAGTTTCAGATATACCGGGTGTTTTTCAAACAACTGCATTTTCGAAAAGTCGTTATAACGTTTTTCTTAGTGAAAAATCTTCGTTTCTGTGAAAACATTTCCAAAGCAACCTTTTATGTGGAATTTGATGGTATAAGTTAGCTTTCCCTCAAAGCAATATTTTACTAGTTATTGACATAAAAATGATTTTTTTAAACGGAATTCCTATATATTTTTGCAAATTCGACGAGAGAATAAAACGTTCTTTAAAAAAATATATTACACTTGATATCTCATTCAAGTCTTCTTTGAAATATATAACTTGGAAACTTTTAAGATTTTTAATTGCATACTAGTCGGGTAGTGGGCTTTGACGGTGTCGATAAAATAAATGCATTGTTAATGAGTATCTATTTGTCCTTTTAATGATATTTTTAGAAGATTGCGGTATAATCTACAAACTAGCGGTCAATTTGAAAAGAAAAAATCAAAAACTTATACACCGAATGAAGACGGGGTATTAGAAGAAGTAGTAGCTTTAGGGGCAGTGGAAAATAATCCACAGATATCAACGCGGCAATTGAGTGTAACTACGCGAATTCCAAGAAACCAAAGCTAGGCGGATTTTCAAAAATTCAGATTTAAGCCATACAGAACTAGCAAAGTCCATTACCTGAGACCAGGAGATTTAGAACGGTGCATGAATTTTTGCAAATGGTTCTTGGGAAAATGTGACGAAGCACGCAATTTTTCTTTAATTTGTATTTGGACAGATGAAGCGTATGTGAGTAGTGCTGGTATTTTCAACCGCTACAATTCGTATACATGGGCACACCACAACCCCCATTTAATTGTGGAGCGGAGGAATCAAGGAAGGTTTGGTTTTAGCGTATGGGCAGGGATTTTTAGAGGTTGAATTATCGGTCCATTTATTTATGATTGTTTCCTCACCTCCGAAAATATTTGGGTATATTAAGGCAATAAATCGAACTTGTTGACGATTTACCTCTAGCGCAACTGAGAAATGTATTTTTTAAACATGATGGTGCGCCTCACAATGCTGCTATTGTTACCAATTTTTTGACCGCAGCTTTTGGTGACTTTTGGTGAATCAAGGTCCTATTCGTTGGCCGGCTCGTTCACCGGACCTAACACCTATGGATTTTGTCCTTTGGGGAAGATTGAAAGATGTTATCTATAAACAGCCAAATTCCCGACAGCTATTAGAAGCCACAGTTGTGAACGCTTTTGCAACACTTAGGCTCATTAAGCTTATCAACTCGGCAAAAGTGTTAAAAAAGATGTCGACTGTGTATTACACAAACCAATTTTCTATAGAAAAGAGATTTACTTTTGTTGTTTATTATTATTTTTTGTTGTTATTTGTTGCCGTATATTTACTGTTGTTTTATAATGAGTTTTATTAATTTAATCTGCTTCTGCTAAATCAGCATGAATTTATGTTTTAATTCATTGTAACCAACTATTTTGTCATCTAATCAACTATACTACTTATAAATATATATAGATATAGATTATATATAAATATAATCTTGTTTTTGTTTTATTTCCAGTCTACTTTTTCAAAATCTGCACATATAAGTTTTAAAATTGTATATTTCAAACAAGACCTGAACGAAATATCAAATGTGCTATATTTTATGCTCTCGTCGAATTTGCAAAAATATAGTGCTCCATTTAAACAAATCATTTTTATGTCAATAACTAGTAAAATATTGCTTTGAGGGAAAGCTAACTTATTGCATCAAATTCCACATAAAAGGTTGCTTTGGAAATGTTTTCACGGACAGGAAAATTTTTCAATAAGAAAAATTTTTCGATAATGCACTTTTTTGAAAAACACTCTGTATCTCTGAAACCGTAAAAGATATCGATATGCGGTTTTCGCCATTAAGTTTCTTATAAAAATCGAGCCTCAGACGGTGATATCATTTTTCCTCTATCTTTTATAGAAAGACGAGTTTACCTTTAAAAGTGTCCAATTTGGCCCATCCTGTACATACAGAATCGTGCCGACATATAAAGATCATTTACACAGATGTAACGATCAAAATTAATTTAGATGTTTTCAATATGTATAGGTCTATCGGGGTCCAATTTTTGTAACATTACAACTCTTTTCCTTAAATATTTCGTATAAAAGAGAAAGTAGAAATAGTTTAATACAAAAGAAAATAATTGTTATTTGACAGAAAAACATGAGTTCCCACTTGTTATGTGGCAAACGGATATCTTAAAGTTTTTTTTCTACTCTTAATATTTCGAATATCTGGTGTTAACTACAACTATTTTGATACTGCTTCTTTTATAATTCTGTGATGTTTTAATTATTAATTCAGTTTATTCATAATTTACAAGGTTCTTAGAGTTCTCAAGAATGTAGATGAAATAAAAATCTATTCATATCTATTCATGCTTTAAAATATTTATTTTGGGCGAGTGACTTTCTTTTGAAACGATGTATAATTCATATATCACTAAAATAATTTTCTAAATTTACGGAAACCTTAATTTATTCTTATGGTATAATTACGAAATGAGTGTAGCTCTTAATTGGCAACTAAAATCGAATGAATTATCAATTTTACATCATTAAATTTTAAAATTTTCTAGATTTGTATAATGTACGGTGAAATTTGAAGTATTATGAAAGTTGATTTCTGTATATTGCAACAGTAAGTTATCGTTTCTATCTTTTTGCAATAATTAATTGGCACATATTTCTTTTTTTAGGTATTAGATAAAATGGCATCGTACGATGTTTAAGAACATGTCAAGGACATCATAAGAATAACTTGGAGACACCACATAAAACAAAACTTTCAGTTTTTCATTTTTGACATAATTTTATAACGACACTAAATTATATTCCTTTAAATTTTTTCTAAACTTACAAGATTATGAAATGTTTTATTTATAAAATATCAAATGTAAATATTAACCAATTCTAAACTTTCGTTTTAAATATCGACTAATATTTAATTATTGAATTTTCTTGGAATTAATTTATTACAAAATGATACCTTTTTTTAAGCGAAACGTTTAGAACTTGTTTTTAATATATTACTAATCACTACGCAGAAAGAAATAAAGGAAATGGGGTTGGATAGAAAATTTAATTGATTATTATTTAATTTAAATTATTTATCAATGATGTGTAAAAAATTAATTCATAAGATTCACCAACAAATTGGCTCCAACTACAATTGATTATATTTACTTTTAATATATTCTTCCAGTTTATCTATTATGTATTCAATTTTACATATTTGATAGATTTTTTAATTATTACACATCGATTTGATCATAAAATTTAATAAACATCTATTAATAATTGCGAACAAGTAATTAAGAACACTATTAATAGTTGCGATAAACAACCTTCTTTCAGTTTTAAATTTACGTGTAAGATCTAATCCTTAAAGTCATTTTACATCTATTTATAGAAATTATTTAAAAAGATAACTTGTTTAAAAAGTTATTAAAAACACAAGTTATAATTATTGATTTCTATTTTTTAATAATTCTTGTAAACGAAATTTCAAGATTAACTTATTTAAATAAATCAACTCTTTATAAACAAAATATTAAAGACTTACCTGTATAACACCATATAAACACAACACAATTTCCAAACTATCAGCGACAAACGATTTAACTAAACAAAAAGAAAAGAACAACAATTAAAATCGGAGAAAGTACTTGAACATTAAAATAAAATAGAAAAGATACACAAACTAATATAGATTAAACGGTAAGATACACAACAATATCTCGAGAATCATTTATAACTACTGAACTACTAACTTTTAATCATATTGGTGTAGAAAAAGTAAAACCGATTTAATCGTAAAGAAAGCACTTCGTCAAATCGAAAACTGAGTTTACTGAGAAAGAGAGAAGACTTATGCGGTAATATCTCTGGTAAGCCAGAGGCAGGTATTGAATAACTGAATTAGGTAAGTGTGAGTAGTATTGGGAGAAAAGTCGAGTCTAAAGCGACCACACACTATAAACACCGGTTCGATCTTTAGTGAAAGTGCTGCATCCAACCCAAACGCAGTAAGGAACCTCGTGGTGCTTCGTGTTACTTGTTTTAATAGTACTATCTTCCCCACCATTAACAGTTAAAAACAGTGATCCGCCGTATGAGTTGTTTTTTTGTTAATGCTAAATGGTCTGTTCATTTCGCAAAAATACCATTTATTATTTATCTATTTTGACCATTTTTAATATTACACAATATATAGTACAAAAATATGTGAACTTGATAACTCAAAATCACAATTAACATTGTTGAAATATGATATATCGCAGGTTACCTAAAGAACCTCTTGTGTTTGCTTTTCTAATTCTGAGTTAGTGTTAGATATTAAATTTCAATCGAATTGTATAAATGCAAACAATAATTCTGTTTATAAGAGTATATTGAAATTATATTAAAAGTATTTCAGAATTTATCCCCAATTAGATATGATTTTACATGAATAGTATTTTAATTATAAGAAAAGAACATCTCACTCGATTTTGATGAACAATATCTCATTCGAAAGTCAATCCTTGGCCAATACGAAAGTGGAAATGTCCGATTCGAAATTTCTTTCGAGTTCCGCTAAAACGCCAAAATATTAAGTACTGAAAAGAACACAAAAATTACCTTTTTTAAGTGGTCATAATTTCCATTTAATTCGTAAACGATTTACTCGATTATCAAAATCTATACGTCATTCGATTCGCCATAGATTCTTCTATCGAAATCAATTCTTAGTAAACATTATTCTTAATAATATTGCTCTTTTATATTTTTGCTCTCATATGCATAAATATTGTGAAAAAACCGAATAGGTGAAAATTCGATGAAATCGAGGTTTTACATCATTTTGCTGGAGGAGTACGGGACCCGGACGTTTTAAAAAAAAATTTTGATACAAAAGTTGTTACAAATTTTATACATAACAATACCAGTTTTTTAAACTTTTGCTCTCAAATGCAAAAACATCGAGAAAAATTCAAATAGGTGAAAATTAGACAAAATTGTGGTTATATCTTGTTGTTGATTGAGCACGGGATTTGGAACGTTTTAGAAAAATGTTGTAGTATAAAATTTGTACAAACCTTACTCTTAACAATATTGTTCTTTTAGACTGAAGTTTTCAATTGAGATATAAAACAATAAAATCCGTCAAACCGTTCTTTAGTCATAGTCGATTTAATCGATTTTCGAGCGTCCATATGTGAATAAACAACAAGCCAAACAAGGTGTCGTTCTGAGGACTGTACAAAATTAACGGCAAAGAATTGAGATCGGGGTTTTTGTGATTTCGATCAAAGTTGAGGAGTACATCGTTTACGAGTTATGTCCACCTAAAAAAGCCATTTTTCTGTTATTTTCGTGTGCTTTCGCAATGTTACGGCATTTTAGCGGAATTAGGAAGAGATTTCGAATGGGGTACTTTCGTATTGGCCAAGAATTAAGCGTTCGAATGAGATATTGTTGAAACTATAATCAAAATAAAGTAAAATGCTTTTATCTGTCTGTACTTTTATTAAAATGGATTCACCGTTATAAATTCTACAGGTTTCGGTCCTTTTATAAAACCATCTTCAGGAACCTTCGAATCTCGTCAATTTAATTTTAAAGCTCTCGTGACAATTAGCATCCTGATAATTGTGACAAACACGTGCACACATAATCCATCTTGTTCGTTAGTTTAAACTTGATACGCAATCTACCATTAATAAAAACACAGACACATTTCAATAAATAATAAAACGTTTTATAGAAATTTCAGGATGCTAATTGTCACGAGAGCTTTAAAATTAAATTGACGAGATTCGAAGGTTCCTGAAGATGGTTTTATAAAAGGACCGAAACCGGTAGAATTTATAACGGTGAATCCATTTTAATAAAAGTACAGACAGATAAAAGTATTTTACTTTATTTAAAATAAAATGGAAAGAAATAATGCTTGCAACAATATAATCAAAATGGCGGAGGAGGTAGAACGAAAACCGTTAATTATAATCAGAAACGAACATGTTGGTGGAACGACACAGTAAAAAAAACTACAGGAGAAAAAACGAACATGGATTAGATACAACCAATGTAGAACGCAACAAACTAAAGAGGAATATCACCGAAAACGAAATGAGGCAAAGGAAATTATAAACCAAACAAAGGCAGATTCTTGAGAGAGATTTGGTAAAAAGATCGAAGAAGATTGCACAGGTAATCAAAAACAATTCTAGAATACTATCAAGAGATTTAAAGGAAGCAAAAGAAAATAGATAAAGAACATCAAAGATCAAAACGGCGATCTAAAAACATCAAATAAAGAAATATTAAGGGCATAGAAAGAACATTATATGGCAAAATTTAAGAAAGAGGAAAGGTGAGGTGAAAGATGAGGAATGGCGGAAGAGGAGATAGGGATCGAAGAAGTAGAGGAGATAATGAGAAATGGAAAGGCGGCGGGAATGGATAATATAGTTCCGGAGTTACTAAAGAAAGGAGGAGATAAGATGAAGAAAGAGATGTGGGAAATATATAAGCCGGCATGCGTACGGGCACAATACCGAGCAAATGGGAAAATAATATTATTATTCCAATACTTAAGAAGGAGGAAACCACAAAATGTGAAAATTATGGAGCAGTGTGTCTCTCGTCGGTAGCTCTAAAAATATACACAAAAATACTAAAGAGGGTGTCCCGTTAAGGGTGCGGAGCGGCTGTATCTCGACAACGGTAAGGCCTAGAGGTTTGGGAAAAAAATCCTTATAAAGCAAAGTGGACAAGAGAAATAGCTGGAAATTATTTAGAAAAAAATTTAAAAAAAAATTCCCGCTATCTCAGAAAGTTAGAAGATGAGCTATAACTTTGACAACATCATTTAGTAGCTTGAATCCGCATCGCGTTTATTTTGCGATATTTCTCATATCTGTCATAAGGGAGGGGAATGCGTTTTCAAATGTTTACACTTTAATATCTCCCGGACCATTCAACCGATTTGAATATTTTTGGTCTTGTTTGAAAGAGCATTTTATGCTCTTTTAAAAGATATTGTCAGTAAGACCGTTTGTTTAAAAACAAATAAGCTAGAGGGCGTTATCTGCAGTGACTACATATTTTTGTGATTTTTGAAAGAAAGTTAAATGGAACGGTACTGTTCACTTCACAGACCATTAGTCACCATAAAATGTGCTAAATATTGGTGAAAACCGCATCTCGATATCTCTATCCCTTCTCGAATTATAGAAGAAAATGTTAAAAATTCGAGTGCCATCAATAACATCCAGTTGCTTCATCGAGAAAAACAAATTACATAACCATGGTAACTGTAAACATGTGATTTAATAACGCAAAAGCGTATGATAGAACGTATGATAATTTATTTTCAATGTTTCGAATATGATGCAACTGCAGGGCAAAAAGGTGCAATGCAATTACGACAAAGAAGACATTTTTCTCTAGAAGTGCTTTTAAGATTGGCTTTGCGATTACGGGAAACTCGCAAAGTGTAGCTCATTTAGACATCTCTATGAATTCGTAAATCACATTAGTCCAGAAGATTCCTCAAGAGAATAATATGTATCTCCACCACATTGATTTACATCAGGCCTTAACAGATACCGATTATGATAACATTGATAACAGACTGAACTATTATCATTGACTTTTAAATATGATTTGGGCAAATCCAAACCATTTATTACAAATGCTATAGATGCATGAAGCATCTTTCAACAAGCTGGTGTAAACTTGCATAATATGCATTCTTAGTTCGAGCGAAACCCACATTGCTTTCACTCCTTTATCTATGGGGTAGACTAAACGACCTGACTTTTCAAGAAAAACCAATAACCAGGGAAAATAGGACAAAACACTAAATGCCATTAGAAACGTATCCAGGGCTGAGACTTAAACAGCGTTTCTTTTTCCATAGAAACTAGATTAAATAAATGCATTGAGGTTTATGGAATGCATTTCGAACATTTGTGAGCTTTGGCGTCTTTAAACAAATTGGATAATTGGTGGATGGATAGTTTAATTAGGAACAAATCCATAGAGATTGAAGAATAGATCTTAGTATCTATTTTTTTTCGTTAATTCGGGTTGCTCCTTTTTTGTTTTATTTGAACACCCCGTTGTCGGGTAAGCACCTTATTATTTTTCTAATTAGTCGTGTGAATTGTCGATCACTCATTTGTTTTTTATATAATTTAGGGTGTTTAATCGTGATTGTAAACCATTGAGGGGACTAAGTCGACTTCAAGTTTGGAAAAGATCCTGTTATTGGGGAGTCAAGTTCCGATACGTAAAAGGATCGCCATTTTGGAGGCGTAATTATAGAAATTTATCGTATTTTATATTCGTTTCGAATTTCGTTGTTTGTAAGGTTAGATTAAATTTAATGAATAGTTATTTCGGCTCAAATTGAAACCAACCTCAGTCAGTTATTACTAATAAAAGAAGTTTATTATTTAACATCTTGATTTTTATTGAAGTAATAAAAATTAGCTGTGGCATGTGAAGGAAGGTTCTAATGTGATCCGATTAAGATATACGATTTTTTAACATTTTCTTCTATAATTCGTTCCATATGACTTTTTTTCAAAAATCACAAAAATATGTAATCGCTGCAGATAACGCTCTCTAGCTTATTTGTTTTAAACCAAACGGTCTTACTGAATAACTGGATGTTATTGATGGCACTCGAATTTTTAACATTTTCTTCTATAATTCGAGAAGCGATAGAGATATCGAGATGCGGTTTTCACCAATATTTAGCACATTTTATGGTGACTAATGGTCTGTGAAGTGAACAGTACCGTTCCATTTAACTTTCTTTCAAAAATCACAAAAATATGTAGTCACTGCAGATAACGCCCTCTAGCTTATTTGTTTTTAAACAAACGGTCTTACTGACAATATCTTTTAAAAGAGCATAAAATGCTCTTTCAAACAAGACCAAAAATATTCAAATCGGTTGAATGGTCCGGGAGATATTAAAGTGTAAACATTTGAAAACGCATTGACCTCCCCCTCCCTTATTATGACAGATATAAGAAATATC